TTTAGAATTAAATAATGATTTAGAATGTTCTTCTAATTTGATTGAGTTTAATTATTCCGAGCCTCTCGCATGTAATCAAATAGTATTCGATCCAATCGTTCGACGTAGATTTCAGTCTTCTTCTTCTTTGTCTTACTTCTGTAGTATATTTTCTGTTGAAAAGATCTTAAGCAGTTCATAACTTGCCAATCGCGCTGAACAACTGATGACCCGGTGACCGTAAACGAATTTCTGCAAAATGCTCATATACACACATATACACATTATTTGGAATACAAGTAATGTCTGCTCCAATGTCGACTTTTCTCGAAAGTCGAATATTACTGATAATGACTCTACCTTTATCCAATTTCTTTCAAATTCTGAGATTGATTCAACGCTTGAACTTTCCTCTACGATACTTATAAATATCTTCGGTCACTTTGAGTGCTTCTATCGCACGTACTACTGCGTTAGTTACCGACTATTTCGTACTTTTGTGTAGTGTCCTATCTTTTGACATGAGTGACATGCAACCTTACTTATGAGACATTCCTTTGCAAAATGCGATCTACCTCCACACTTTTGACAGATCGAAGTTGATTCCTTCTCTATTTTACCTTTATTATCTATATAGAGTCTTGATCTCTTTCTCTTCGCTATTTCGCTTGCATGCTTCTTTTGCTTACGTGTATGGACATGGTCTATGTCCGATTTCATATTGTTGTGTAAGATTACCAATTGTCGCTTGATCTGTTCGCTCTGCTTTGCTATCCTAACAGCTGTTTTCAGCATGAGATCCTACTACTACTAGTCTGTCAAATGAAATCATCTTTTAATGCTCCGTATTCGCAGAATCCAATCAGTCTGTGAAGATCAGTAATATTCATCAATGGATTCATTTTCGCCTTGATGGCAGCGATTGAACATGGCATAGTTGTAGGTATATTATGTTTCGTTTTACTACAAAAATCGAAGGCTTTCTTAACCTCATTATACTTTCTTTCTTATCAGCGGGCAGCTGCAACGATACGAACACATTATCAGTTTGATCCCCAATGCAATAAATTAACACATTGATTTGCTCACTCTCCGTCTTACCCGCGAGTTCATACACTATTTGATATCTCTTAAAACGCCGTATTCATTTTGGCCATCTTCTCCCGCTCGGGCGAAATTTAGCTGTTCTGGCGTTTGCCACGAGGTTACGACTGCTGCGCCATAATTATCTATATCTTTTTCTTCTTGTATCGAAGTTGTATCCCAATTCTTCAGAATCGCACTTCTGACACTATGTATTTACGCACAGATTTTGGGAGATAATTAATAAATAGCGAGATATATATTTAACATCTACGAATACCAGAAAACTTTATTATATCTCTCTATGTTACATCTCTACTTGTCTTCCAATCTAGATGGATCCTTCCTTGGTATCTTCTTGTGCACACACGTGTCATCTGTTATTTCACAATGTCTTTCTCCTATCTCTAACCGTTTTCGAGAAAAACGTGGTGAACTTTTTATCAGACTCACTCTATATTCTCTCATCTTATTGTGCGTTCAAATGATTACCTTCAAATTTTACTTCTCATCTTCCTCATCTCTTCATGCATATTAAAAATTAAACTTGTGTTCCTGTATGTACTATAGATTTAGACAAATTTGTGCAAGTTCAAAAATTGTTTGTTACGTTGGAAATACAAAATCTTTTTTAAAATACACAAATCTGAGTATGATTTTTAAACCTACACAAATTTGTTTAAATCTGCAATTTTTGTACAAACGCGGTATAATCCCTGTTGAATAGATCTCATTTATTTATATATAAAAATCCATTTGTTGTAGGACAAAAACTGCATATAATCTTATATTAGATGTAGTAAAAAGAAATCCATTATTTTTCCAATAGATGGCTTTAGTAATCTGTATCTCGTCTACGCGTGATAATATATAAGATTATATGCGCATATATATAGGTGTAGAAATATGAAACCGGAACTTCCCTATATATGGCACTAGCTATCAGTTTAAGGACCACAAGACCGCATCTGCAGCGCCATCATCTCTCTCTAACAGCTGACGAAGATTTCCAACATACAACAACTCAAGTTCCATACACCGGTATATTTTTTTCTAATCTTAAACATGTCGAGTTTTGTGCCTACGAACTACGATTTGCGGACAACATTGGTTTTCTGTTATCATTTGAAGAAAAAAACTGCTGCAGAATCGCATCGAATGCTTGTCGAAGCTTACGGTGAACATGCTCTTGATAAAACACAGTGTTACGAGTGGTTCAAAAAATTCAAAAGTGGTGATTTTGACGTGAGAAGAGCGTGGGAAACCACCGAAAAAGTTCACAGACAACGAATTGCAAGCCTTATTGGATGAAGATGATACTCAAACTCAACAAGAACTCGCGGATCAATTGAATGTAACGCAGAAAGCCATCTCCATTCGTTTGAAAGCTATGGACAAGATTCAGAAAGTGGGAAAATGGATTCCGCATGAACTGAATGAAAGACAGCAAGAAAATCGAAAAAC